GTGTGACAGACACTGTTCCGAGGGACTGTGTGTGCTCCACACCTCTCTGTGTATTTGTGTGACACACTGTTCCGACGGACTCTCTGTGTTCTGCCTGTGCTCTCCGCACCTCTTCTGTATGGCTGTGTGCGACAGACATTGTTGCGAGGGACTCTTGTGTGCTCCACACCCTTCTGTGTGCGACAGACACTGTTCCGAGGGATGCTCTGTGTGCTCCACACCCCTCTGTGTGACTGTGTGCGACAGACACTGTTCTGAGGGACTCTGTGTTCTGCCTGTGTGCTCCACACCCCTTCTGTATGGCTGGTGTGACGCTGTTTCGACAGACTCTCTGTGTTCTGCCTGTGTGCTCCACACCCCTCTGTATGGCTGTGTGTGACAGGCACCGTTCCGAGGGATGCTCTGTGTGCTCCACACCCTTCTGTGTATCTGTGTGTGACAGACACTGCTTTGAGGGACTCTCTGCTTGTGTGCCCCACACCCCTCTGTGTGTGTCTCTGTTTGTGTGTGTGTGGGACAATTGCTGTGTCACCCCGTGGGTGCATTAGTGATGTCCACCTGTAGGTCTGTGAGAAGCAGCCGTGTTTGTTACAACAAACACCTGTGTGTGTCAGTGACAGGCAGAAAATGTGACACTGAGTGTGCCTGAAGCATGTGTGACACTGTGTGTTTGTCACCTGTTTGTGTGTGCAGCGCCTGTGTGAGATGGTGGGTGAAGCACCGTGCATGTCCAACACCTACTCTATGACCCTGAATCAGACACTGTGTGTGTTTGGAGAGAATGATGTCTGTGTGAGTGTGAGACACCTCTGATGTGGGACACTCACTGTGCATGTGCATTTGTCACACACGATCCAGGGTGTGAGATAAAGACCTTATGTGACACACCTGAGCACGTGTGAAGTGTGTGTGTGACACATCCTCAAGTGCAGCACCTGTGTGAGTGCACACCTTGCTTCATGTGTATGTGACTGCAGCTCGTGTGTGAATTTCACATGTGTGAGCACCTCTGTGTGGCACTCTGGTTTGTGGCCTTTCTCCTGGACCTTTCAGAAGGTGGCTTTCCATGTAGCTGTCCTTCATTTAGCACAGATGGGAGCTGAGCTCTGCAGGGTGTTTTATTAGGATTCTTTCAAAAATTTTCAGCCTTTTTTCACAGTTCTATTTTTGATTCTCTGGATTGTGATGAATTGCTTAAAATCATCCCCTTTTGATATGTATTTAAACTGATAACTACTGATCTATGATCCATTATGTGGTATTATCACAGCAGCTGTGCCTTGCTTGGCAAAACTGCACAGACCTGATATCATGGCACACATCCAGGTACATCTATCAGCAGTATTCTCTAACAATGCCATTTATAGATGGCAAGAACTGAAATCAAAACAAAATCCTCTCTTTCTCTAAAGCATATACAAACCCAGCTTTGCTATGTTGCAACTCATATCCACATAGTTTAAAGCATTCACATAAAATAATTAATTTTGGTTTGAATATTGCATTTCTTATGTTTGATGTTGACAGAATGGTTCAGTATTTTCTTTGGTTTATTCTTTGATATTTTCTTCCTCTACTTTCAACTTGGTTTTTTCTCACTATCTCCCTTTCTAATATTTTTGCAGGCTCCTGTTCTTCTTTGCAGGAACTCTCTTGATGGGAAAGCCTCTAGCAGTCAGTCCTAGGGTTGTCTCCTCCCTGAAGCCTTTACTAACTTTAGCTTTTTAGCAGGCAAACCCAAATGTAAACACTTGCCTAATTTTTATTTTAAATTTTCTTTCTAAACCTGTTACTATGGCTTGCCTTTGGCTTGTGTACGAAGTCTGTAAGCAGAAAACCTTTTAGTCACTGGAGGTAAATATCTCTTGAACAGTTCCATAAATAATCCTCATTTTATGTTGGAGATAATGACCAGGTTGGGCTCTCTTGAGCTGTGTCTAGTTCTTCTCCTCAGCTTGCAGGATGGCTTTGCTTCCTGAGCAGAGAGCAGCTCTTGCCAAAGGCTTGGCTGGACCTGTGCTTGCTTCTGCATCATGTAATATCTGTGTTGTGAAGGATGTTAAATGGGGACAAGCTTGGTGTGTGAGGAGAATTATTTCTGAGCATAGGCATCTTTTTATCTAGCATATCAGAGCCACGGTTATGATGAGGTACAGAAGCCATCCCAGAACAAATCCTAGTGTAAAGAAATGCTGTCTGGGAATGAGAAAGAGCCAACTTCATATAACACTGCAGAAAACCTCCACTGTGGTCATCCAGTCAGAGAGAGAGCTCATACCGTGATTTCACTGCTTGTTCTTGGGCCTTAAAATGCCACCACTGGAACAAGTCCTGTGCAGATGGGCAGATTTCCTGAAGAGGGCCCTAAGAACATCCTGGGAGTACCAGAAGAAGGCTCACACCTGACACCTGTAGGAGCAGCATGGTCAATTTTTTTTTATTTTTTTTTTTTTTGTTGTTGTTCAAAGCAGTGTTTGATAATCTGTCTAGCCTGTGAAAAAGATCTGAATGACTCCAGCTGTCTTCTCAGAACAGATCCTGCAGAGCTCCGATGAGAATGGTTTAGCACAGGTGTATGGGAGAGCTTGATAACCAAGATGGATTGGAAATTCATATGAATGATGGATTGGACATTTCCATGAATAATTGATTTGCCATACCTGCTTTCAAGAGGCAGCACCACCACATCTTCTGAGGCTGGGAACCAGGAAAGAAAGAGACTAAAAAGAAGCCACATGCAGCACTGGATCTTTAAATGACCTTTGATATCTAAGAGACTACAGAAATTAATTCTGGTTTTGGAGAGCAAATGTTCTGAGCGTGTACACAGAAGATACTTTCAGTTGTTAAAAGGCTTAAAAGTTTTTGGTGGAAGGGGCCATTCTCAGTGCTTTAAACAGTCAAAATACAGAACAGATCCAGGAGCTCAGAACAAAACTTCATCTGGTCTACAGTCTCGTTTTGGTCATTGACTCACAGAGAATGAATGTCCTAGACCAGACACTCATGAGAATCACATTTGGAAGTTTAGGCATCCAGGACTTCAAACATTCTCAGCAGAGGACTTGGATTTATGAGTCATGTTCATCTGATCAAATATGTGATTCAAACATGAATTTTTTAAAAAGCACCAAAGGCTACAGCTTGGCTTTACCTTTGGTTTCTACTTTTAGAAGTTTTTCAGATGGCTCTGCTGACCTTGGAATTCCCTTTGTACAAGTTCAACCCTGAAAATGAAGTCAGATGTGCAGTGCCCTGCCTGGCTGTGGTTGTAGTAAAATTTTGTGATGTTCCAAGGCAGGTTTAGTCATCTTTGTCTAAGTAGTGCCCAGAGCTGTATCTACTATTTTAGAATCAGACATAAACAAGTGTATTCTCTGTCTATAAATGGACAGGGGTATTACATGAACAACAGCTTGTGGTGATTCACATGGGAATCAACTGGATGTTTCTGCCAGAATAATTCACCTGGAGAGATGACTGCTTCCATTCACTTCCTTTCTTGGAAGCAGGCTGAGAATAACAAACTGTTCCGATAACATCAGCCTAATTCCAGTCAACATAGTTCCTGCTGAGAGGCAGGGCAGGCCCCACCCTGCTGCATGACAGGCAGTAATTGGGCCTAGAAATGTGACTCATAACTCTGACACTTTGCCTCAGAGTTAGGTGTCAGCAGCCGCCAGTTGTCACAAACCCCTGTTTGAAACAGTGATGCCAAACCTTCTCTCCAGCAGTTCAGTGTTCACCTCTCACTTCTTGGGGCTCTGAAAAACCTCAGTCTCCGCTGTGTGTTTCTATTAGATGGCTGCAGGATTTAAAATCAGAGTTTCCCTCTGTCTTGCGGCTGTTTCTCTTGCTGCAAACTAAACATTCAGGGCACTTCATGGTGGTCAGTGTGCCCACAAAGAGAGGACAGCCTCATTTTAGACCACCTCAATGATTTCTAGGCATTTATATTTGTTGAAGCAGATACTGCTGTAGCCTTGTCCTCTCTTCTTCCAGCTCTATAAACACTAGGCCATTAAATGTTTAATGGTTTTGGGTTTATTGAATGTTTAACTATTTCATGCTAAATGGAAAAGTCATTGAAAGGAAGAAGGGCATTGTCTATCAATCATATAATTGCAGTATTAATAACAATAAGCTGTGACTACATGGATCTCAGCTTCTAAGTTAGACAACAACATTAGACAAATAACTCTGGATCTGTCTGGTTTATTATCTTGTCTCCAGCAATATCATACAGCAGAAATCTAGGGAAAAGGACAGGTAGAGAGAGACCTTTCTGAAAACACCCTCTTCATTTCCAGAAAATGGTAGCTCATGTCTTCCCCAGTTAGAGGTGGTATCACATCATTCCACATTCATCTCCATTATTGAGGCTAGTCATTTTTTTTAGGCCATGCAAACTCTTGGCATGCATAACATTCTGTAGCAAGGGTTTCCAGTGCAGGCATGGTATTTTGGAGCCTGTCCCTTGTTTGTTTCATCTGAGGATTGTGCTGGCCCACAGTCATAGGCTCAAACCACCCACAGTGACCTTCATCCCCTAAGAGCTGCACTGGAGTCCAAACCTGAACCATGACTCTGAAATTTACCTGCACATGGACATGTGGGTGTGAAGGGACTGAGGGGCTTGTCCAAGATTACATGGAGAACCACTGGAAAAAAAGGAAAACATCTCAAGAGGACTCTGATGAAAGCACCCAAACTTTCCTTCAAATGTCTTTCTCTCTGGCTTGGTATCAGTCTTAGTGCTACAATTTGGGCTTGCCAGATAATCTGCAGCAGCTTGCTGGATCCCAGAGTGTCTGATCTTCTCTTTTGAGCCCATGGAGAGCTAGGCTTCTGGCCAGCTAAGGAGAACAATCCAGGCAGGCAGCCCTCTGGCCAAACTCCCTCTGGTGTGCTAGCTTGGACATTGATATTTCCCTGACACTAAGCTTTCCTCTTCAGCATGAATTGCTCATTACTTGAATTCCATCAGGGATTTCTTGTGTCATGAAGGAGTGGAGATTCTGCCTGAACACACTGAGCAGGACTGACTGCTTTCTGTGGATGAAGCTGTTGATGTGTGTGTGTGTGCCTGTATCTGCAGGACATAGATGTCTCAGTGTTTGCCTCTCAATGGTGCCTCTGTTCTACAGCCATCTGTGGATAAAGCTGCTATTCTGCCATGAACAATGACTCATACAGGAAAGTCTTGAAGAATTAGGCAAGAACTGTGTTCGTCCTGAGGACTATTGAAGATGAGGATCCAATCCCATAAATCCTTGGAAAAACTCAGCCTTAGTTTTCCCTTGACAGCTTTAATCTTTAAAACCTGCTCTTGCTGATACACATTTGCCAACAGCAGGTTGGCAGCAAACTGTCTCTGTCAGTGGGCATCACACATCCACTGCTTGCCTCTGAGCCCTGCTCACTGTGACCAGCTTCTTCTCACTCCATTTTCCAAAGAGGATTTTACTGGTGACTCTTCCATCTCCTATATTCTCGTGAGCCCCCACAGATTATTGTCTCCAGTCCCTTTTCTTGTAGGGTCACTATTCCTGACTTCCTGCAAGCTTCACCTGGACCTGGAGCTGCCCAAAAGCTCTGTGAAGGCTGTAGGGACTATCTGGGTATCAAAAAATCACAACAATCTCTGCTTCAAATATCTAGCCAGGTTTGGGTACTCAGGAAAGAGGTGAAAGGAAGGAAACATCCAGAGGGTTTTATCAGGCTGTCTCCTGTAGGCAGAATGAAAGCAGAAGAGTTTCTGAAGATCAATTGTGCTTCTCCAACTAGTGGGGAAGGTTCTGGTTTGTGGCACCACTGTAGAAAGAAAAGATTGCAGGGTTTTTATGTTGCAGAAAGGAAACTGTCTGAGGAATGAAGATTAAAATGATCAAGAAAGTTTAGAACAAATGGGCATATCCTCATAATGTAATTATAAGGAAATTCCAGGTGTGTAAACCATACATACAAAAAATAAACACAATAAACACAAGTTTTCAATTGGGCTAGAAGTTATTTAGGAATTTTATTCCCAGATTTTGAAATTTCTCTAGGTACCAGGCCTGTGCTTCTCGACCTTTCCAGTGAATTTATCAGTCCTCAAGCTGCAGAGTGCAACTTCCTTCCTGCTAGATTAGTGAGTTCAGCTGGGTCAGTGAAGAATGTGCATTGAAATCCCATCTCCTGCTCCAAGCAGGGCTAACTTCCAAGCTGGCTAAAGTCACTCCAGGGTCTTGACCACATGTATCCTGGAAATCCCATGGAGATTCTAAAACCTCCTTGGGCAGCTTGTCCCAAGGCTGCAGCACTCTCCTGGTAAATGAGGTGCTCCCTTTGTTGGGAAAAGAATTTTCTAGCAGGCAACATGAGCCCATTGCTCTTGTCCTTTCACTGTGCACTTGCAGGAAAAGCTTGGATGTGTTGGAATTTTATCCCCCCCTTGCAGCAGCATCTCTGCAGTGCGATCCCCCAGCCTTCCCTAAATTCCCACCTCGTCTCCTCACCCAGCACAGGCTCCTGCTGGTCCTGGGGCTGTGCTGGAGCCTCTCCAGTGAGTCAGCATCCCCCTCACAATGGGCTGTGTGTGTGTGAGAGCTGCACAGAGTGCTGCAGATGCAGCTCCCCCGGGGCAGGCAGAGGGAGTGACCACATCCCTGCACTCGCTGACCACTTGCTGACCACTTGCTGACCACTTGCTGGTGCAGTCCCGTGACTGGTGGGTGTTGCTGCTGCAGGGGAGCACTGCTGACACAGGTCCAGCTTGTTTTCCACCAGAATCCCAAGGCCTTTACTGCATGGCTGCACTCTGCTGTCAGTCCTCACTCTGTCCTAATGCATGGAGTTGTTTTGTCCCAGGTTAAAAAAAATTAAAGAGGTTGTATTTTTCACAGAACAAATATATGTGGTGAATTAAACCAGATTTATCATGGGATTGGAAAGGGTCAAACCCTGAGTCCTTTTGTGCTGATACACAAGTACAAATCAAGAGTGGCACATGGGAGCAGCATTTCAACCTGAAAATTGGGGTTTTCTGCAGAAAGTTCTGATGTCAGTCACAGATTTAAGCAAAGGGGCTGTTAACTCTCAGCACGAGTTACTCTTTTCCTACAGGCTTGAAAGAGAATCTTGTAGGCCCCTGGAATGAATCCCACTTCTCTCCATTCCCCCAGGACCTCAAAGGAGGAGCAGGCACCATGCCTAGAGGGGATGAGCTCCGTGTGTGCATGGTGTGGTTTTAAATCAGCATTTTAATCCTTCTTTTGATTAAAAATCCTCCTTTGCAGATAGGCAAACTTGCAAGAATTATCCAGGCAAACTAGCAAGAATTATCCTTCAGATACATTGAGATAGGACACAGCTCCATCTCCCTTAATCAGCTACTTTGTTACTTTTCTAAAATAAAGAGTCCTTTTTTAATTTCCTAGTAGAGGAGATATTTATATTTCGTGTCACTTCTGGTTTGACTAAATGAAAAATAGTACATTACTTGTTCTTAAAGAAATAAATAAAGTTCATTTTATAAACTTAGCAGTTATCTCATTTCAACTTCCTTCCAGCTTTCCACACTTTTTTTGAGGGACAAGCAAAGGACTCAGAGGGCTCTGGAAGTCTTATGAGGACTACGAAGCACATCAGGAAACTTCTGGGAATGCAAAGCATTACTCAGACAAAGGCTTTATAAATATGTTTTCAGCCTTCATCACAGCAGAGCAAAAAATAGCCCCAAGAACACTCTTGCAGAACCAAACTCCCATGCAGGAGCTGTTTCTCCTTCCTGCAGTTTTTTCTTCCTTTATGCACAAACAGGTTTGTGTTTAACAAAAGGCTAAACCCTGCTAATCTGCTGATTTGCCAGCCAGCCCTGTGCTTATCACAGCAGTGTTTGTTGGCCGGGGCAGAGGCAGTGCTAACGTGCCCAGCTGTGCTGTGAGAGCATCATCGTGTGTGTGTCATGTGAGACAGCGAGGGCAGGACCTGCACCCGGGGCTGGACACAGGGAATGCTGTTTGTGAGCAGGCTGAGCACGCCCATCCACCCCAGGATGGACACAGGGAATGCTGTTTGTGAGCAGGCTGAGCATCTCTCTGACAGCAGCTCCTGCCACACTGCGGGATGGGCCAGCCAGAGCTGGGGATGGCTGGAACCAGTTGTGGGTGTCTCTGGGTCTGTATTGAAGGCACTTGAGACAGTAATTCATGTTCAGACTCAGGTGTTTGTTATTTCTTATCAGTAAAACGGCCTCACAACCATGAGTTCTGCAGCTTTACATTAGAAGGCACAAAATGGCCAACAATCCCTTGGTACAAGGTCTTTTAACCCTAAACTATCCAATTAAGAACTGACACCTGGATTATTTTCACTTTTAACCCAAAAACTGATCCCAAAGAGCTGCAATATGGACTTTTCCACCCAATTACAAAATGCCTCCCAAACCCATGGAGAAGGAAGGAGAAGCATGAAGAAGAAACCCAGGATGACACCCTGTGCCCTCCATCTTGCTTCCATCCACACCACACTAAAAATCCCAAAACCTCAATTTCTCACCAAGTGATGCACCTACACTGCTCTCTATAATCTATTTCACACTTTTGTGGGTTCCAGTTTATTCTGGAGTTTAGGAAACTTTCTCCATGGATGAGGGTCAAAGTCAGTGCTGGCCTGGAGGTCAGGGCACCCCAGAGCAGACACAGAAATATTCCCTGTGCTGCCCTGGGTTTGCACAGATGGCAGGTAGCCATGGAGCTGGGGAATGAAACAATGGGATGATTTTTGTCAGCTTGACAAACAGATCATTGCTTAATGGCAGGGCCCTGTCCAAGGGGCAGCAGCAAACAACTGCCAGGGAGTTCTGACTGGCACAAAGGAGCCCAAATGTGGATGGGAGGATGAATGGCCAGTCAGGAGGCATGGGTGACAGCCAGCTGTGATGACAGGGTATAAAACACAGGACAGAAGATGACAGAAACCTAAATGGTAAACAACGTATGGGAGCAATTTAACAGATAAATACACAGAAGAAGAGAAAGGAATGACATGAGAGGAAGGGACACAGAGTGCTGCATGTGCATGGGAGGAGGCAGGAGCCTTGGCTGGGGTGACCAGCAGGTGTGGGTGATGGCACTGGTGCCTGGAGACAACAATGGGAGTGAGGAGAGCAGCCAGAGCCACTGCTGCTGTGGCTGTCACTTGGGCCACCGGGCTGAGCCCAGCCACGGGGCACAGCCCAGCAGGGGCACGGCCAGGAGCCAGCACTGCCTGTGCCCTGGCAG